AGGTTCTGCTCCCGTGTATTGGATTTTTGTCATCTTTAACCTTCGGAGCTGCAGCTCTGCTCTTTAACCAATTAGAATTTAAATACATTGTTACGGTAGCATCTTTGTTGGAGATGGGCCGTGACTTGTGTTCATTAGGGCTACAGATGTCTGCTCAGATTATCTATTTCAAAAGCTTTCTCTCTGATGAGCTGTGAAAAGCCAGACTTGAACAGAGGATTGCAAAAGATAAAATAATAGCCCCTCATCCCACTGTCTGACAAACTTAATGCCCTTGCTCTCAGATCTTTTTAAAAACTTGGAGGCAGCAGATTTATTCATGGTCAATAAGATAGCCCTCTGAGCACAAGCCATAATGTTTCCTTTATCGCTCCTTTCCTAAATTATTCACAAAGCTTTTTACACTCCAAAATCTCTGGTCTGCGAGTTCAGCATTTCCCAGGTAATAAGGTTTAATGGGCATAAGTGGCATTGATAAACTGTTTATACATGGTATGATTTGAAAACATGTGTTTTTTAAGTAAAATATATATATATATATATACACTCCATGAATTTAAGCAAAATTGGCCTGCCCACTCGTGTTTGGTGTGTTTTTTTTTGGTTTTTTTGTTTTTTGTTTTTTTGTTTGTTTTGCTTTTTGTGTATGTAGTATATTTATTGGTTCTTATACTTAATAGCAGAGTTTTCTAAACCTTCTTAGATAATACCTGCTACTTCTCGGAGATGATGGCTGAATTGCCAAGAAATTCAGTTCAGTGACTTCTGTGATGTGTAAATAAGTTACTGGAGCAGAACTAAAGAGTTGTGGCTTTTTCTTTCTGAACTAGCATTGCATTTCCAGCAAAAACTTGTCAAGTGCTGGAACATCTCATCTACTCCCTGTTACAATGTGCATAATTCATAGATGATCCTGGCATTCATAAAGTGTCTTAGCTGGCTTCCCTTCATTCCCTTCCCTATCTCCATTTGACTGTATGAAAGCCGGAATATTACATCTATGGGAAGCAGGAGTTTTCTCCTAGTCCAAAGCTTTCTGCTCAAATGCAAAGGCTTAGACATGACAGCACATTAAGAGAAAAGGACCATGTGTAACTCACTTTATTCAGCATATTACAAGTCCAGCAGCAGAGATCAGGCACTGAGAGGACATGGGAGCATAGACACCAGCTACATTACTTTCATCTGTTGTAGATTGGGTTTGTGGGCTTTTCTAGATAGGAGAGAAGATTAAGCTCAGACTTAGTCTTACTTGGTTTAATTTACACCACAGCGAAGTAAAATACTGCTGCACTTCACCTGCAAGGAGGTTTTGCCAAGTGACCTTTTCTTAGCCAAGAAAACCTACCCCTAAGACAAGAATAAGTGGTGGTTTCAGTGATACTAGAGCAGGGTGTTTTTATGACAGCTGGATCTTTCTAGATAGGGAACCCTACCTGTCTATTCCTGTAGAGGCATCAAGTTTATGTATGTTTGTAAATCCAGGGAACTGGATTATTTGTATGGGGAGAGAGTGTCTATGTGTCTGTGAAAAGTATTCACCATTGCTCCATGCTCAAGGAAGAATGTGTCAAGGATAAAACAAATTGCTTCTCCTATGCTAGACACATTTATACTCTTCATGCTCCATGTTAAAAATACAGCAGCTAGTAATAGCTGAACTGAAAGAGAAGCCAATTTAGTTCCCAAATGTGATAGAGTTGTATTAGTCACTTGGCAAAGCTGCATCAATTAGCACTGTTCAGTATGGTGCTAACGGCTTTGCTTCTGCTTGGGACATCTCCCCACAGAGCTATGTTCCCTTGGGTAAAAGTGTCCTTACTTTGCTCTTATTCTCAGAGATATAGTGCGCTAAATGGAATAAACCTGAAAACCTGAGAAGGAATAGAGAATTACTGATAAATACATTATGTTTTATTACATTCTCAACACATAAACATTCTCAAAGCTCCAAAATAGCACATTGACTGAGAACTTGCCCCAAATCTCTGTAAAATGGATAAGTCATTGTTGTTGTTGTGTGAAAAATAGCACAGAACTGAGAAAGCAGATGTTTCATTTGAGACCATACTTGATCTGGATAAACAGATTCCTCTTTATTTTGTTGAAACTGAAATACCTTATTCTTTCTTCAGAATTCTGGTTAACCTGTCTGGATATACAGAGGTTTTGATACAGGACATTTAAGAAGTTAGTCTAAACAGACAGATAACGTGAAGTATTTTATAAAGAAGTTGATATACAATGCACTTCTCTCATTTTTCTTCCCTTTTAATAAAGATAGAGATTATTAAGAGAAAGGATTGTGCTGCTTCATGGTGATCCCATGGAAACCAATTAAGTCTTATGAGGTCTGCAGAGGCATCCTGTTCTCAGCCTTCTGCCAACATGTGGTTACTAGTGAGCCAAACTGAATGGAAGATTTGTCCTATTTTACTGGGCCCTCATAAGATACTTTCTTGCACTGCAGAATTACAGGTAGTGGTATTCATTTAGGGATCATTTCTTGCCATTAAATTTACTAATGTTTACATTAAGATGATCTGTTTGTCACTGTACTCTGCAGACTGGCGCTTATCTAGCTTATGTGACATGAAGTCACCCCTCTCCTGATAGATTTGGGGAGGGTATTGGAGAAGCCATTGCAGAACATGATGAGCTGTAATTAAACTTACTAATACAGTGCCATACAGTGTATGGCACTGTCTTCCCTTCTGCCTAGCACAACTGCTGGGGGAGAGGAATTTAGCAAGGAGTCTCGCTGAGCTCTGGCAGGAGGGATCAGGGAAGCTGTGATGATTTCTGGTGTGCATGGCCTGCAGCTGGCCTACAAAGCAGTACTTTGGTTGCACTGGCATCATTGGTAAAACACATTCTCTAAGGGCAACGGTTTTGTTTTGTATTCAGTAACAGGGCCAGTAACTGTGGGGTTTTTTTGTTTTGTTTTTGTACAGTTTTGTACAGTTTTTCTTTTCCGCCCATCTCAGCCCCTTTTTAAAAGGGAATACTTCAAAGTAAAGGCTTTAAATTCCATTCTCATACCCAAATAATGGGGACATTGTTTTTAATGATGCTGTCGAACGTGGTTTTGTGTTTCACTGTGAAAGTGAACTAACAAGAGTAAATATTGACAGAAATGCCCTAGCAGTCTTGATGCAGAGCAATGAGTGATTCAGGAAAGCTCTTCCATTCTCCCAGAAACAGTCTATATATGCTTTATTTTATGTATAGATTTTCGTAAGTGACTCAGTTGCTGTTCTAAGCTGTCAAAAAGTGGTTTTGACTGATAGGTGAAAGAAAGGAAAGTTGTACACTAGGATTTATTTTACCAGCCTTCTGTAGTAGGGAATGAAGAATTGGATGGATGGACCTTCTTTAATTGTGTGGATTGGGGCGGGGCAGGGGAGGGCAGTCGGGGCTTGTTTTTGTTTTGTTTGTTTTAGCCAGCCTTTTTTTGTTTCTGCTTTAGGCAGCTGAATGTCTTGTATTGTACTAGAACAACGTTTTTATTTTTGAAGCTAAATAAAACCCAGAGGATTTTTTTTCCGAAGAAAAACAATGTTGAAAGGTTACAGGACCTTGTGAGCAGGGTGCAGGAATGGAGTGAGGAGAACATCTTGCCGCTTGTTGTTTTGGCATGACCCAAAGTGTGACCAAGTCACATTAGTGGGTGTGCATGGGTGTCATTTTGCTTCTCTGAGTCCCCTTCCCCCTTTGCATTTTAATGTCTTTTTATTCTTTTTTTTATTATTCTTATTTATTTATTTATTTATTTATTATTTCGATGCAGCTCAAAATCCAATCACATGTCTTTATTCCACCACTTATTTGTTTCCCTGGACCCAGAGCCTGGTTATGAATTTGTTCTCCTATTTCATGACTCTAGATAAATCTTATCTTTGCTTCTTTTACAATATTTGGTAACTTTGCCAATTCTTAAGTGCCTCTACAACTCAAATATTGACTATATGCTGTGTGAAGTATCTCTTATCTGGCCTTTCTCATCATCAGTCATCCCTGAAATACTGTTTAAAGTCATGGAGTCATGGTTCTGCTCCTTTTCCTTACCACTTAATTATTATTTCCAACCATGTCAAGTTGAAGCTCACTTATGGTCTTCCATGGCCTCAGCCTAGCTCATTTTTGCCTCTTTCTCATCTTGTCCTGTCCTATCCCTTTTTTTTTTTTCCTTCCCCCTCAAGCTTTAGGGTGAGAGGGCTGCATGTTTACTGTTCACTTGCTTGCCTATACTTTTTGTTTTTAAGTTTTCTCATCTTTTATGAACATCATGTCCATCAGGCTTACATCCCCATTTTTGCCTGCAGTTCGAACATTTTTCCTTCTTTGAATTTTTTCTAGCAGAAACCCCTCTGATCAATAAACTTTCAAATAACCACTCTTAGCTGCTTAGCTGAGCAGCCTTTTTTTTTTTTTTTTTTTTTTTGGCCTGCGTCCCTTCTTTTGGGCTGTGAGATCTCTGGAGCAGAGGATCCAGCTGCTGGCTTTCATGAAGAGCTCCCTGTAAACTTGGACTGCTCTGGAAAGTATCATTAAAAGTAAAGATCAGGCCTTTCCTTTCTCTGCTTCTGGTATGTTTTGCCAAATGTCGTTTAAGGTACTGTGCTTACGCCTTAGAACTGGGTGCTCTCAGGTGTGAGGGGTGGGGCAAGTTAGGATTGATAGGTAGGAATGTGGGAGAAATAAAACACATGCACTATCATAAGATTACTACGCTGTGCATCCTCCTCTTTCTCACTTTCTGTCTGTACCTATCTTTTGAGGATATCTGCTCTAGGCATGTATTGCAGCTGAAGAGTAACTTGCCAACCAATATCTGGTTTGCATGTTTGTGGTTTTAATAAGCTAATTTTCCACAGCCCAGAAGAAGAAAGGAATCTGCTGTCACACAGTCCATTAGCAAAACACAGCCTTATAACAGCCTTTCAAATTTTGTATCGAAAAAATCTCAGACTTCCTTTTTTTTTTTTTTTGTCTTGCAGAGGCAGGCAGCGGTCAAGATTACGTGACCTCAGAAAATCAGCTACTCTACTACCCTAGTATTACCTATGCTATCATTGGTAGCTCTGTCATTTTTGTACTTGTGGTGGCCTTTCTTGCCTTGGTTCTGCATCACCAAAGAAAACGCAACAATCTCATGACCCTGCCTGTGCATCGACTCCAGCACCCAGTGCTGTTGTCCCGCCTGGTGGTCCTCGATCATCCACACCACTGCAGTGTTACTTACAACGTCAACAACGGCATCCAGTACATGTCCAACCAGGCCTACCACAGGCCAGTGGATTTGGATTCTCCACCATCCTATTCAGAGGCTGTGCTGGACCAAAGGTATGTACAGGAGCTAATTCTGTTTTCACCAAACCTTAAAGCTACAATTTGCAGCTCTTGGAATTTGTGCTTCTACTTCCCAGTTATCTTTGCTATTGTTTTTGATGAAGGTGTTGTATGGCAGTTCTGTCAGTTGCATGAAAGCAAATCTGGGCAGTCTTTTTTCATAACTCCTCCTGCATATGAAAAATTCAAAGTCCATGGGATCCCTTTCTGATTACTGGTATTAAAGGGATGGATTTTAGATGAACTTCAGCCAAACTGTCTTAGTGCTAGCAGTGCATGGACATGGCAGGAGTATGGGAAAAAATATATCACTTCTCTAATCGTGAAATCCTGTGCCAGTATGGAATCAAAACATGAAAAATATATTTGCACTTTTTCCAGAAGACAGCTAGGTTACAAATGTTACTATTTAAAAATCTTAAAAATTATGACAGAGCTCAGAGGGTGGTGATCAGCAGTGCAGGGTCTAGTTGGAGGCCTGTAGCTAGCAGGGTCCCCCAGGGGTCAGTCCTTGGTCCAGTCCTGTTCAATTTATTCATCAATGACCTGGATGAAGGCACAGAGTGCTCCCTCAGCAGGTTTGCTGATGATACCAAACTGGGAGGAGTACGCTTGCAGCCGTCTGTGCAAGGTCCCCTCGGAGCCGCTCACCCCTCTGCCGGGCTTCTCCTTGGGATGAGCAGACAAATTTCTTTGTTTCATTTAATTTCTTCTTAACGGTAATGAATGGGGGGAAGGAGTGTTTTTAAGAGAGGTTATATACAACATACCCTTCCTGTGAAAGCCCTTTCGAGGGAGGTGATCCTGCCCCTCTGCTCAGCCCTGGTGAGGCCGCATCTGGAGTACTGTGTCCAGTTCTTGGCTCCACAGTACAAGAGGGATGTGGAGCTGCTGGAGAGAGTCCAGCGCAGGGCTACAAGGATGATCAGGGGCCTGGAACATCTGCCCTATGAGGAGAGGCTGAGGGAGCTGGGCCTGTTCAGCCTGGAGAAGAGAAGGCTGAGAGGAGACCTAAGCAGTGTCTATAAGTACCTCAAGGGAGGCAGTGAGGAGGATGGTGCTGGCCTCTTTTCAGTGGTGGCCACCGACAGAACTAGAGGAAACGGCCAGAAACTGAAACACCAAAAGTTCCACAGGAGCTTGAGGAAAAAATTCTTGACGGTGAGGGTGACAGAGCCCTGGAACAGGCTGCCCAGAGAGGTTGTGGAGTCTGCTTCTCTGGAGATCTTCCAAACCCGCTTGGATGCTGCCCTGTGCCACGTGCTCTAGGTGACCCTGCGTGTGCAGGGGGGTTGGACTAGATGACCTCTAGAGGTCCCTTCCAGCCTTAAGCATTCTATGATTCTGTGACATATCTTGGTGGTCAAAAGTAATGTCTACATTTCTTGCATCAAGAAGTCATGTACTCATGACTCCTTCCCCAGCAGAGGAAGAAAGGCCACTGTAGAATGCAAAGAGCTGTTCTAATTCTAAATAGCTGAAAGTGCAAACTTTTGTGGGTAGGCATGGTTTAGATCATGTTGTTTTTTGTTTTATTTGTAAATAATTAACCTTTATTTTAACCTATATCTATAAACTCTTCCTGAGCAGAGCTAGTAGACTGGCATCCTCCCAGCATTAAAAGGGGCACGGCGTGACTTTTCATGGTCCAGATTGTTCACTGTCACTCTGTCAGTATTCTTCAACATGAACTCTGACATCTAAGAAACGTAGTAAAATATTTACATTCCTGTTCTCTGCTGCATTTGGCAGCTGCTTCCTTTGTCTTGACGTTCATGCTTGATAATAATAATATCTTTTCATTAGAAAATGATCAGCTGTCCAGTTTGTAATTACTCCTTACCTGATTGGCACCACCATCAGCAGCCTCAGAGCTAATTGTTTCCAAAACCTTTTATCAGTCTGCTAAAGCTCTCAGTTTATTCTCAGAAGCAGTAGTAGTTTTCTGGAAGCCAGTACTCATCTTGTCTGTGTATACTTGGTGCTTGCTCTGCGTAAGATATTATGACAACAGAAGCGCTTTGTCTTTTGAAGAATTCAGTTCGTTTATTAATAGACTGGAGACCATTAACCTCTCTTACTTAATGGAGATTTCCTCAGAGCTTTCCTATGTTCACATCATTATATAAAGGTGTAAATTCCCCTTTTTTCTTTTGAAACGCTTTCTCAGATGGTGTTCATGTTGCTCATGAAGAAATCTTACAGCTGCCTTTGAGGGAAAGGTGAGATTTGTCTGGCAATGCATACTCATGAAAATT